AGATGGCTGTCGAACTAGAAAATATTAGTATCCGTCTTGACAGTCCGGCTTCCCCTCAATAATCTTCAGCGATAAACTTTTTTAAAATATAGTTCTTTCTTTAAATGAATGTTGAATTACTATACACTCTCAAATTCCAGAAACGAACTACACATGAGTCACAATAATATTTCACTGTGTCATTTTATGAATATTTCTCCCTGTTCCATGCTCAACTACTATATATAGATTTAATGAAGAAAAGAGAATGGAAACTTTCTATGTTTTCTACATTGGAAAAAAAGTAAGGTCATCAAGGTAAGATCCTTTCACGAGAATAACCTTCTAGGAAATCATTTTCGTAAGAAATGGTCTTTCAAAAGTTTAACAACGATAAAAACTAAAGTAAACCTTACAAAAAATACCGCATTTGGGTATTTATAACTTTCGCGTTCACTAACGTCTTGTTTCGCTGTAAAACTTTAGTTCTGCATTGTAGAGTTTCGTGAAATGATACAAAAAAAAAGAAACGAGAATAATGGGTTGAACTTACCAAATCTACAGGCCTGTAGAAATCAGGTCTGGCAGCGGCACGTTTTTTTCTCATCGACCTTTTCTTAACCATAAGATCGTGAAACTCATGAGTTCCGACACCGAATAACCCCATGAAATCAACCTGTTCCATATGTTCAGGATAAATACTTTCTGGCTGAGGCTGAGAAGAGAAAAATATGGTTAGTAAAATATAAAATGGCTCCTAAGATCTACTAAAAGATTTGATAAATACATTTCATTTCCTTGAACTTCGATGATTGAATCAACAAATTATTCACCAATACTGGTGAAAAAAAAATTCCCGTGCCTTACAAGTGAGAACATAATTTTTTTCGTAACTACCTAACTTCTCATGTTGGCTCCCTCTTGCGGTGTGATCAATTCGAGATAAATCAATTATTAAAGCAAATAATGAACTTTCACAATTAACACATTGTTCTCGTAATCTAGGCCTGCATATTGTGGTCTGAAATTCTCTAAACATATGAAACATATGGAAGTCTGAAAAAAATGATAAAATTATGCAACTCAGTCTAGTACCTTGTTCGGGTCATGGTCAGGCCGATACTACCTGGTGACCTTGAGTTCGATTTTCCGGCGTCCTGGATGTTGGTGGTTGGGTTCGTCTACCTGGGTTAGGCTGGAGTTGGCTTGATTTTACCTGTATCAGGTATTTCGTTTTTAGTGCTTTCCTTTTACCTGGGATTCAAAGGAAAAGGATCGTAAGGGTCTAGGTTCAGGTTGAGGTGAGGAGAGAGGGTTTGTTGTTTTTTTTTTGTTGACCTTGTTCGGGTCATGGTCAGGCCGATACTACCTGGTGACCTTGAGTTCGATTTTCCGGCGTCCTGGATGTTGATGGTTGGGTTCGTCTACCTGGGTTAGGCTGGAGTTGGCTTGATTTTACCTGTATCAGGTATTTCATTTTTAGTGCTTTCCTTTTACCTGGGGAGTTATCTCTGATCCTTCTTCGGATGGATATGATTCTGGGAATCAGGGATCCGTCACGCACTAAGGGTTTTTGAGGTATTTCCTTTTGGTATAGGTAGGTCACTATTCACTTTCACTTTCACTTTCACTTGTTTGGATTCAACCTTTGCGGGTTGCGATCTAACACTGAACTGAACGAAGAATGCAAAATCCTGCATATTTATACATTTGTGGACGAACTCCAATCGGCCAATCACAATGCTCAAAAAATCACATCCATTTCGATCGACTAGAAAATCGATAATCACGCCATTCCCTCCAGTCAATCAGAAGCCGGCTAGCCGGTGGCCTGATTTTGCCCTGGGACGAAACCGTTGCGCACAAAGACCTGTTTAACGGAAATTTGCGATTTCTCAACTTTTTCCCCTAAAAATTTTAACTTCATATTCGGATAGTATTCAACAATCCAAACCGAAAATACAAATGAAATTTTTTCGATATCTCTATTCCTTCTGGCTGTAAAATGCATTTGAAAGTA